GAAATTATAGTTAATGGTAAAAAGGAGGATGAGAGGGAGATACCTATTCATGATGAGATAAGTGATAATAAAAAAACATTATTTTAACCTTTTCGATCTTTCAACTATTATTGTGGTCCCCTCCCCATAATATCCTAACCCTAATTGTTAGTTCAAATAGCATATACCCATTTTAAGGAATCAACTCTCTATGTTCATGCCCATAATCATTGAATGCGTGTAGTCATGGCATGACATGACATTGGTTTTCATGGTTCACGTTTTAAGGAATAAAAAGAAGTCATATGCATTAATAAAATAATTAGTGAACCATGAAAACCAATGTCATGTCATGACATAGATACATGCATTGAAGACATCTATTTTCATGCCTTAGGATCCATATTAGTGTACTCCTACATGGTTGGATCTTGTTCGATTTGGTTGCTTATGTATTCCCTTAACTAGATAATCATATCCTTTCCAAATATCACTAGGAATAATATATGGACCATTGTTAAGTTTCTCACTTGAATAATTTTTATAGAGATAGGGGGCTATTCTACCCAAGTAAATAATTATGACTACACAAGGATTCTTAGCCGTTATTAGTAAATGAGTAATATTATTCCATGATATTAGAGAAAAGTTTATATCTAATGATATTATACCGTATTTATAGCTATCTCTCCTAATGGTAAGCTATTACTATAGTAGTGGCCAATCTTTACTTATTCATATTCGTAAGACATAAATACTACTTGTGTTCATATGGGGTTACCATGTATGTGTTGTAACCATGGGTGTTCCAATACCAAAAACAACCATTAGCAAGATCCAAAGCTACGTGTCTAATTTCTTCTAGAACAGTGGGGGAGAAGGTAGACATCATTGGGTTAGTTGGCGTAAAATGTCTCAAAGCATATGAGACATCAAACCATATATATAACATGGTATACATGATAGATCCAATGGTTGACATGTAAGGAACGTGATTCATCCTTTCCCTTTCATTTTGTATGTTAGGACACTCAAGAGAGGGAGAGTGAGATATAGTGTAATATTCCATGATTACGCTCACCATCTCACATTATTCAATCCTCATAGGTAAAATATCTCTCCCTCTCCCCTTGTTGTCCCAAATTGATTAAGAGTTTAGTTACATCCATTTATGTTAAGATAAGCAGAAGGGCCTAAGCTTGGGATTATGCTATGGGGTGATCCTCTCTCTCCCTCTCACCCTTTAACTAATCAATTTATCTAATATCTTGACTCAACTTTACCAAATTGTAAGGGTTTCTTAATAGAAATGGTTGATATGATCACCATGAATGGGTAAATAATATTATAGGGTTGCCATGCGTGTGTTGTAACCATGGGTGTGCTTCCAATACCAAAAACAACCATTAGCAGGCTCCAAAGCTACATGTCTAATTTCTTATGGAACAGTGGGGGAGAAGGTAGACATCATTGGGTTAGTTGGTGTAAAATGTCTCAAAGCATATGAGACATCAAACTGCATGCATAACATGGCATATGATAGATCCAATGGCTAATGCATAAGGAATGTGACTCATTCTTTTCCTTTCATTTTGTGTTAGGGCACTCGGGAGAGGGAGAGTGAGATATAGTGTAACATTCCGCTATCTTGCTTACCATCTCACATTATTCAGTTCTCATGGGTAAAATATCTCTCCCTCTCCCCTTCTTGTCCCAAATTGATTAAGAGTTTAGTTCACATCCATTTGTGTTGAGACAAGTGACCTAATAAATACTATAATTAGCTATAATAGATAATTAATTCAACTATCTATTATTCCTAGATGACCACTATTTCTCCCCTACTCTCTCCTAATGTTAAACCTAGTTTGCATTATAAAGCTAATTAATATTTCTTTTCAATTAGAAATCTACTAGTGGAAAACCCATTTATTGTAATTTTAATATTATAAATAAGGAGAGGGATATTTCCCTTTGGGTTCCCCTATGTGAGACTAAAGAGGGATTTATAAATAGTTTTAAGCCTCTCTTTCTTGCATTATGAACAGTAGTATATATCTAATCTCAACACTCTCCCTCTCCCTCTATTAGTGCCTCATAGAATAATTCACTCATAGAGATAATTGGCTCTTAGATTTGATAATAATGTACAAACATATGGTCCTAACACTAAGATATTTTAAGTGTTACAATGCACCCCTTAGTGGTTAACTCTCCACTAAAATCTCTTAATTGTAACAAGTCAAGACATGTTAGATTTGTTGCTGAAAACAATAGTGTCTGGACATACCATTTTTGCTATTGAAACTAACGTGCCAAGATCAGCTTTATTCATTAGTGAAACAATTGCATCCAAACTTGTTGCTTTCATTGATGAGTTATATGTTTCAACTTATGTTTTGCTACCAAATTCCATGCTAGTATGCTATGTAAAGTTCCAAAAATGACTAAGTCTGGACATGCCATATTTCATTTATGAAAAATATTATGTGCGGACATTTCGGTTTATGTCGATAAAAACTACCATTGTCCCGACATTAGTTTTTCGTTGATGAATTTTATGTCTAGCAAGTACATAGTGATATATTAGTCCCTTTATTATGAAAATCACATAAAGGCATTTTAAGTATGATTTGTGCTTGATTTAAAGGACTTGATAGCATAGATCTAACATTTGAGAGGGACTTACCTTCCCCTTGAATGAGTGAAAATCTAGGTCTCACCACCATGCCTTGCATGAAAAGTAATAGATCCAAGATAGGTCTTTAGGAGAGCTCGACCTTTAAGAGTGAAGGATCTATTCCTACGGATAATGGTTGGTCATTATGTTTAACTTGTTAGATCTATTAGGGATAGTGGGAGATAAAAGAGGAGTTGGCACAAAATATATTTACTCAAACAAACCCTAAATAGCAAGGATAATCACCACTCCATTATATATGGGCCAATTCTATTGCCTTACCCCTATCATAAAGAGGCCACACCATTCAATTGAGGTAAATATATTTTGTGCCAATTCCTCTTTTATCTGCTTGAAGGAGTGTATTAAAACCCTCTTTATTGATGAAAGATAATAAGGATACCAAATAACTATCAACCAATCTTGGCTTCTCTCTCTATCTCCCTCTTTCCCTCACCTTCTCACTAATGGCAAAGTCGAATTAATATCCTCATGGTGCGATCCATGATGAGAAGGAAAACATTATTGATAGAATACTCAAAATATAATTAATTATGGCTCTCTCTAATATAAGCCCTCTCTAATTATACAAAAAGTATCCAACGATGTTATAAAGCCTTACTGAATGTCTATAAAATGATCAATTTAGGGGATGGCTTCGATCACTCTCAAATATAATAAATGGACCTATATAAGATAGATTGTTCAAAAACTGGATAATATCATTCAGTAAGGCTATTAAAACCCTTATATCTATATTTTAGTATAATATTATCCCTATATTGAGAGACCTCGCTTGATGGTTGTGATCCCTCCATGATAGAGAGAGGCAATTTACATAACATATGATAAGATAATATTCCTTGGGTGATTATTGAAAAATCAATGATATTAGGGTGACTATTAATATTGTCTCTATATGGCCATCCATGATTACTTTTTTAGTCATTTGGACAAATACAAATTGAGCATAGACTAATAAGGCTCGTTGGTAAAAACCATCTAGATATCCAATGGGTATATTTTAGAATATAACTATTTAATGCGAGGGGTTTAATAACTACTTACTCTAACTAAGTGTTAGTCCCTTCTCTAACTAAATAATTGATCCTTCCAATATAGTATATCCCTCTTATAGGAGATAACAATCACCCTCTATCTTTGGATTGGTAAATAGAGTGTTGTTACAATTAGCTCGTGCTAGGGTAAATATAAAGTTACGGACAACTATATGTGATTATTAAAACGAATAATGGGAGAGATAGGGGAATATGCCTCTCCCTCTTAGGGTGATGATAAGATCACTAATAATTTGGGTTAATAGAGGTGATTAGCTAATAGTATCTATTTAAGAAGGCACATGTCATTTGTAGTTGAAGACACTTTAAATGAATCAGCTTAACCATAGAGACTATTAGTCCATGCCTATTGGTTTATTCAATCAATTATAGTTAAAGGTAATAATATATTTTATGAAATTAATAGTGATTGGTCGTAACGAGATTGGTACCATTGTTTATGGACTATCCATTGCCTTATCAAGCAATAAGTTTGGTAAGGAGAAGGAGAGAGAGGGAGAAAGATAGGTTAACTATGCACGCTAATAGTATATTATCGATCCTGGTTACATGTCCGTGAGTGTCCCTTAGATATGAATGGGATATCAACACCCTATGGCGTCAAATAAGATAATTAAATACCCTATTTTTAATGTTTTAAATGAATATATAAAACTTATAAGTTAATTGAGAACTCACCTTTTTATCCTCCTTAACGACCGAAGTTCTCCCTTGATACATTAGTGACAAAATGACCTAAACTATCTTAGTGTATACCAATAAAATTTTAGACTACTTAAGAATTGTCACTAGAGATGAGTTTAAGTTTAACAATATCAATAACATAAAAAACGTTAATATAGTTTTCAAAGGGAACCATCAAATGTATCGGGTCCTCTCCATAGGTTATGAGAAAGTCTGTTAGTCATACTTAGTGATGGTTCCATAAGGTATGCCTATATTAATATAGGGATGATATAAATAATCATTAGATATTCATTCTCCATCCTAGATTAATCCTTCCACTCACTAATAAAACATATTAGTCGGATATATTCCTCTAACTACACAACAGGATATCTCCATACTATGGCATAGATATATCGGGTTAGATATCTTAACTATGAGATTATCAATAGCAACTTATCTTATATAGATAATCATTAGGGTTTAAAAGAGGCCAGAGTATATTTTCATAAATGTCACCCTACAAGGGTTTCTTCTAAAATTGATTATCATACATATATTCCAGTTGGTTAATATCTTCTTTATTATTTTTCAAGGAAAATTATAATGGAGTTACCATAGATAATCTACTTGAGGGGTTACTATAACTATGAAATAACAAAGGAAATATCCCATAACCCAATTTATATTATGGTGATATTAAGTTACCTATATTAATCAACTATGTTAATTGCACCTCATGCCCCTTTCTCTCTCAATTGTATAATGAATCCTCTAGAGAGGTTGTCAATATATAATATCATTGACTAAAATGTTATTAGGTCCCTCTCCCTCAGGAATGATATATTAGTAATTTGATCAATAAAATTTCTAAAGCTAGGGAAAACCATTATGGTACTAATTTACGTTTCTAAATATGGGAAAATTCCCCTTATCATTACAATTCGACTTTTATCATCTCATAATATCCCTCCCTATATCTCCAATTACACTAGCATTAGTATACGGGGACTCACATATATAAGATTGTATTCCCATCATAAATATCTCGTAGTAGATATAAGGAGGTTGAATTAAGCTATTAAGAACAGAACTTAATATTGGCATATAACTAAGTGAATAAGTGGGCCATATATATAAGATTTCCAACTCTTGATCCAATGCAAGAGTTGGCCATGAACATAATATTGGATATACTTGGATTGGGCATCTCGAGTGTTAACCAAATATAGGTGAGCTAAAGGAATTATTACCTCTCAATTTTCACTAATGATCAATAGGTATAATTATACCTAAAACCATGAATTATATCAGAGAGGGATGGTATAATATTAACTCCTATGTCGACCTTGATGTATCAATAGGACCTCTATTAGAATGAATGAGTATTATTACAGTAATATGGGACATCAAGTACCATTATCTACCTATGCTCATATTAATTATAGCTAATAGTGTTATAATATCCTATTAGTTAAAGTAATAGCCATATATTTATAATATTAGTAATCATATTAATAAGATTATTATCCGTGAAACATAGGGATAATCTTAAACTCAAGTGGGATAGATTTGTTAGGATAATCTTCCTAATAGACTGTAGAGTGATCCTTTGGGCAATCCCTCCATATTAACCTTATTAGGAGGAATAGAAAAATTAAAATATGGGCTAATTATATTTTGGGATAGCTTATGGAATTCCCAAGATAGTTATAAGAGATGTACTAGACTCATTAACCCTACTCATGTACCTTAGAGGTTCTCAAGGATACAATTATCCCTTGTAATTACCCTTATTGCTTCCAAAAGGGTAATCATATTATCCCTATGTTTCCCCTATATATCCATGTCTTAAGCTAAGGCTATCTTAGGCATTATAATTAACAATATTATTTAATTAATAATAAGCCTCATGGTAATGAACAGGATAATCTATCCAAGGTGGATAACATTACTACATAACTATATAACATATATCACTTTGGGTTATCCATTTGATACATTATTATCTACTAGGATGTATCCAATCAACAATTATTGATTAATCCCTTTGGTGATACATTATCTTTAATGATGTGGACTTATAATTAACTCCCATCTTGAAGTATCCATACGTTTTAACCTATAGGCCTCAATATCTTACCCTATTCTGATAATAATTATATCCATAACAAATTGATACTGAGCTATCTCCAATGAGTAAAATATTATTTAAACCTCATGCCCCTCCCTCCTAGTTAAGGATTACAGTTCCTATCATTAATAGTATGGGCCTTCTATAGAGAATTCCTAGGTATAGGATCAATAGGGATATTAAGTTACAATTATTCCAAAATAACTAGGACCTTATATACCTTAATTTATAATGTTGTCATCAATGGTAAATGTTCAGATTCACTTGGTATTCAAACATGTAATTTATTAATGTGAGTTATTATACCCACTTTATGGGTTGACCATGTAATCGGTAAGGGAGCCAATTACTATAGATACTACCTTTAGAGTATTAGATAACTTAATGATACCCATTAGCCTACCTAAATCATAGCTTAGGTATGAATTACTAGTGAATATATGGGCAACAGATGATACATCATATAGAGATCCCTCCATATTATTGGTAATATTATAAATATATGGCTATAATGAGTATCAATTGACCATAAATTAATTCCCAATCTAAGGCTAGTTCCTAATATGATGAGATCCTTTTAGTATTAATATTTAAGTATATTGATAGTTAATGTGTATAACCTTAGATTATGTTTAATATAACAATACCTATAATAGCCCACTAATAAGGTAACACTCTCTCTCGTGATAATCATAACTATTATATTGTTCCGAATGAAGAAATAAGGGTAACTTAGGGGATTAACTGTGGGTAATCAAACATTTTACTCTAATATAATATTACAATAATTATTTATCCCACCGTATAAAGTTATTGGGTTAACTTTATCATTCTAGAGACCCTTCTTTGTCACCTATATAACCAAGAGAAATATAATACTAGTTAGGCATATATGTTATTGTTTACCCTATTGAGAGATAAGTGCCTAAATTATAACCCCTTATAGGTTTATGAGCACTATCTAGTTAGAAAATGATATTATCTCAAAATAATAATAAGTGGGCATGATAAGTACGGAGACTACAGATCGATATATTCATGCCAATTGAAATTCATGGTTATCATCATTACCCTAATATGTAGAAGTCCAATTATTAGATAATATCATTAATGTACTTTGTGGTTACACATATCATGACAAATATTATGAGCCCATATTGATGGATATATAACACTAGTCCAATTAGGTAAAATACCAATAGTCTATATCCTTGAGTGATTTAATATCCTATGGTTCTAACTTAACATGCTAATATGTTAACTAGATTTAGTGGGATACATCCCAAATAGTATTATTATGTGATAAAACATGGCACATAGTAAATTCCAGTTAAAAGTAATCAATGGATAGGGACTCGTTCATATTAGCAATGTGTTTAATCATTATGTGTTTGATACCTATTTAATTATTCAGATTTATAACTCATGGAATGAAAGTAACTTGTATGTATTATGGATCATATTATCTTATCGGATAATAGAACAAATCCTAATAAGGTTTCTTATACCATCGTAAGAAGGTTCATACTCTAAATGCAAATAATTTGCAAGGGAATGATATATTATTCCCTATTCATAATGTAGATTAATCGATCTTATCCACCCTTTCCAATTATAGCAGTATACTAGAGTAAGAGGATTATTCCCTAGTAATTTAATCATTAATTATAGTATAATAGTGTATACTATTAGAGAAGGACCCTACTAATAGTAGTAACTCTGAGGTTGACCATATTATGATTTAATAATCATTTTTATATCCCATCACTATAATGGCTCTTATTATTCCATATCATTAGTCGTTTTATTTTCTCTGTTTTGTTTTAGAAAATAAAACAACTAATGACTTTATCATCATAAGCAAATAATGGGCTTGATAGAGAGGGAGGGAGAAAAGGATGATCGTATAGTAATTATGGGACTCATACCCAAAATTTTCTTTATGTTTAGGCTATAGATAATTTGAAGTAATATTTATCACTTAAAATAAATAGAGAAAAGAACCAAGGTCGATGAGAGATTTTGATGAGATAATTTACTGATGGCTACAAATTATATTAGTAAACCCTCGTAAATATTTTTATACTTGGTTTTATCAAATGGCTACCCCTAGATAGCCCTAGTATATTAATAATGATATTCGTAATACAATATCATAACCCCTTAGGTCAACACTAATATAATTTGCATATAATGGGGATATCCCCTATTCTTGAAGAGATATTAATTTAATATCTCATATAGGGTATTGTTACATTATTTATCCGACCATTAATTAGGTAAGGGCTCATTAATATTAATAACCTTTGTCTGTTCGTAGGGAAATTTATATAGGTCTATCTAACTATAATATTTGTATATATTTCATAGAGTTTAATTATACCATTCCCTCGATATTAGGGGTATATTATGAGTTAAATTGCCCACTAGTAATTTAAGATAATAACCATAATTGTTATGTTTAAGATGATAGTACTATTAACCTATCCATTAATATGAGTATAATTGATTATGTACTCTATATGATAAGTATATGTTTAGTACTGCCTATGGTTTAGGAGGTATAATAACTTATGATATTTATCAAATTAGAATTTTATACATTATGAATGTATCCTACTATCCATTAGTCTAGGGTTATATTCGAGGATTACTAATCCCTATTAGTAAACAAGGTCTACATATATCCTAACATAATAACCACCATACACAAGGTATGCATCCATTTAGCTATCATAAGGTATTTACTTCTTATAGAGTCCTGAGGATTCTTTAACCATAGCTATAAGAATCCAATAACGGGATATGATTATAGCTTTATACCATAATCTAAAATTGGGAAATGCTTGATATAATAAGTGGGATCGCTTGTATCCCTTGGTTACCCCTAAGTCGGACACTTTTGCTCAGTTATAACCAATCTCTCTCAAAAGGAATATATTAACATGACATTTTAACCTTTAAATAAATTAATAAACATTCATCTTATAATTTTGAAATGAATTAGAAGTTCACTCTATATTACACCATAATGGTATAAAATCTTTTTTATGATATATCCAATTATATAATCTATAACAATCTTGGTCAATTATAACTAGAAAAAACAATTTATGGTATACCGTTAATTTCACAACTTAATTAGCTATGAAGTACTAATACCCATAACGGAAAATGCCCCTTTATATGAAGTTTATCTTATAGATAATAACCATATGGTTAACCTATACTTTTATACTAGTATATATTTCTAACCATAACTTATAATCAAAATATGTTAAGAGTAACGAAATATACCTCTTAGCTTAAGGGTGATGCTTACCTAGTTATAACACTATCAGCCCCTAAAATGCTCATTCTAAACAACTTTCTATGGACCTATATTGATACGAAATTATTATCATATATTCATCCTAATAAGAGTTAACGATCATAATAATTTTATACAAGGCACCATGGGGAGTATGCACCATTATCACAATATCATAGTGAAAAGAACAGTACCGAACAAGCAATAGTAAGATTATTAGATATGATAAATAGTAAATAACACATGAATGCTATTCCATTTATATGATAGATCCTAATGGTATGATATCAATAACGGATATACATATTTAGATAACACTATTATGCTCATAGATGGGCCATATTTAAGCTAATAACATAGTCCCTTTAGTTATCCCAAGACGAAGGGTGTTATGGCTAATAAGGTTGGTAACAATATAAGTATTGGCCATAATATTGTATGGTCTCCATTGATAGGAGAATATTTTAGTAATGTCTTATGATTATACAATTTAACCATCATAATACTCGTAATTATGAACTACTAGTGATAAGTAGAGTATATTTTAACTACCAATATCTCCTAGGTGATCATGGGATATATGGTCCCATATCATACCCAATAGGGAACATAATGTTTTGATATTAAGAGCTATAATTAATCTATTTATGGTACATTGATCAAGAATACATGTCCGTATATTGTTAGGAGCCAATTCTATAACATCAATAGGGATATATTTTTACCTAGGTTAGTTATATATTTAACATAGGAAAGTTGATAATTATCAAAATACCCTTGTTATAAGTAATGGTTCGATTACATTAACTAATTAGATTAGACACCATATAGGGAAACTAAATATGAAACATGATATAATAATCTTGATAATTATGCCCTAACTATGTATTATCCTATCTTAACTTCTCCACTTAAAAGTTGCTAGTATAAAAGATTATCAAGATATGTAACCTTTCGTGAAATACAAACCTACTAGAAGATTATCAAGATAGTTAAGATAGGATAATACATAATTAGGGCATAATTATCAAGATTATTATGCCGGATAAAACATGAGCTTGTATGCTTAGCAATTGGGATTCTCCCCTAGTAAGTCAAACATTAATACTCTAACATAAGTATACCCTAGACATTAATAAAAATCATATATGTAAACAATTGATAAATCCTCTCTATTCCCCAAGATGGTGACACATCATGTAGAGAGGTTGTTCCACAATATAGGTTATAAACCAAGAGAGGGAATATAATAGTATAATCCTCAAATTAATAGTTACCTATAGTTATGATATACTACGTTTGAGTATTATAATTTAAGACCAAATAGACTCTCTAATATGAGGAAATAATGAGAATAATATGCCTATGTCAATTCACAAGAACATTTAATCCGAAATTCCGTTATGGATATTGGTAGGTTCAATAAATGGATGTATGGACAAGTATTTAACAATTTTAGACTTAAGCATACTCTCATGACCATAATTGAAACTCATCAAATGGGGATTCTCTAAAATAGTGGGTATACCTTAGTGCTCCCTATGGTACTATTTTCTCGACTAGTTTATTAATAGTAGAGTATTATAATTTATAGTTGATATTTGACGAAATATAGGCTAATTTTATCACCAATCTCAAGGACCTATTAAATGGTATCTCACTAATATATAGTGAAGATATTTTATTGATTCTAGCATATTATAAATATCATCTATTAGGTATAGGATCAACATAGATTACTAACTCACATATCCACATTAATCAAAGTGTTCTCAGATTAATCATATAACATGATGGGATATTACCTCAAATTATGGTATTCGATGGAATATAAGGTAGTTATGCCTTCAATATACAAAGGTACTTACCAAGGATAATCATATATATGCCAATATTTGATACTTATAATATCATAGGATATTTACAACCCTAAATAAGAATAAATCAAAGGTAAATGAATGGTAATCACTTTAGATTGGGGGAATTCATACATGGACTAAATATTATAAATTAATATTTTCCTCTCTTCCTCATGTCAAGTATTATGTCACATATCCTATTACATTATAATGAGTATGGTGTGTCTAAAACGTCTTTACCCATTATAAAGATAGCATAATGTTTTATATTCATACCTAATAAGGAATTAGCAACATAGTATAATTATAGTGAAGTACCTAGGACTACCTATTATTCTAACTATAGATGACTCGAATATTGTTCTCATATTATTGGATTACACTCTCATAGTAGCCTATCATCGAATTATTTTTTGATAATAGACTATACAAACTCAAACTCAAATTTGGTGACAATAGCTAATAAACTATGGATAGCCCATAGTATTGGAATGTCAATGTAATTATGGGTATAACTAATACCCATAATTATAAATTACCAATTTATACTAGTGGATACCCTACTAATTATAAGGAGAACATGTCGTTAGTCACGGTCATGATAAAAAATGTTTTAGTCAAGGCTAAATAGATATCCTAATATAATATATTAGGCATAATATTTGTGAGTTTGATATTATTCGAATTGTAATAATAGCTTCTCAAAAAATTAATCAGATAACCTTTTATAACTGTCCATATGTCGACTAAAATATTTTAATTACGAAAGCTTACTTACAAACTATGGTCATCCTATGAACGATCAATTGGGATACTATTGTATCTCTATATAATATTATGGAAGTTTATGAATTACCTTTTGTAATCATTAACTAGAGAGAATATCAAGCGGTTTAATCCAAGTTAATACTCATGCTAATATTAATATTATCATTGTCCTTCACTCCCCTTAATATGTTTCTAGATAATGAGTATAAAATAAGCCTCCTAGTAATGAAGGTTTGTATTGTATACTATTCAAAATATTATGCTAATTATACTATTCTCATGATCAGTCATATAAAGTTGGTGTAGGGTGTGTCGAATAATGTATTAAATAGCACGGGGTAAGGGGTCATAGTTAATTCCTAATTATAAACCAATGACTGATTATATTATATGGCTTATATGTGGGGTAATATTGTGTAGAACATAGCTGAGTAAATGGATATTATTATGCCCAATGTTCTTCGAGGTCTGGGCTATATCATCTATTAAGGACTCTAGAGAATATTATAAAGGACTATTCTTACTACCCGGATGTTTTATAATTATATACCCTTTTTGTGACCTCTAGCATGAGTTATCCTATGATACCTTTCTTCTAACCATTACTCTTATATACCCTCGGGCCTACTCTAGTAACCATGATAATGGTGAAACATTATTTAATCTAGGGTATAATAGTAAGTCAAACACAATATTCGTATTAGGCATAAGACAATTAAATATTCGCTAAATGCTAGTAGCATTTGGTATACAATGCTATAATGATCGGGTTATCAAAATCTCATAGAGGTGAACTATTGTTTGACTTACTATTAGACCCAAGATTAAAGTACTATCTTTATATAGATAATCTTCCATACTATTTATGGGTTAATATATCAAAGCATGGACGATACTAAAATTTATTGAATAACATCTATACTCTTATCTAACCTTTTGTATTCTGTCACATTAATTAATACTCCAACAATTTGTCATCATGGTCTTTGGATCTATCAATTAAATTCAATGCTATTATACTCAATAGGATGTAATAACCCCTAATAAATATTTTAGCCACCATGGATTAGTATAACCCTTATCTCTATCATAAATCCTTCCTGATTTTATAAATAGGATATCTCCGTAGGAGTTAATTATATTGATGCACATATCAAGTAAAAGATATCCTTAATGTGAATATAAGTATAATAGTAATGAAGTGGCTAGTAGTTATAATACAATGATAACTATAATTGGTTAAACCATCATATGGAGATATTCTTGATATTCATCATATGTTTTTTTAAACAAAATTTAAGGTTCTATTTACGTTTGGTGATGGACTACTCATTATATACCAATACTATATAATTTTCCATAACTAAATAGGATTTATATTGTCCACCTTAAACAAAATGAGGTGAAAACTATCATAATCTATATAATTGGCCCTAGGATTCATAGATTATTAGGATGATTAAGTAAATAGGGGTTAATACTAACATGCAATAAGTAGATTGTTCCCACTTTTAAAGTTTAATAATAGGTATAGGAACATATACTCTTATATATTCATAATAATGGCCAACTATATAAGGCTTATTGCCATATTCTATACATGGCCCTATATCTCACCATGGTGATTATATTTCACCGAGTAATACTCGAGATGTCGATCGAGGATTGGGAATCTACTAAAATTCCAATAGGATCATATAATTTGCACATATTAGGATGCCATATAGCATAAAATGATTTTCATTAATCTACGAATTTGGTCGAGCCTAAAATAGAAGTATATGTGAACTGAATGTCCTAATAGGATATATTATTATCACTACCTCAGAATTCACCCCTAGAGAATATTTGGGGATTGAATTATATTTTGGCACAAATATGCTATTTGGAAAAGGCAATAAGTATTTTCATCAATTATTGGGATGATAGTAACTTACTAACAAAGTACCTTTGTCCAACACCAAGATTAATATGGTAACGATATGCCCTACTAAATTAAAATACAAAAGATTATGTTATCTTAGTTAATACCCTAGTTAGAAAATGATATTATCATTTATTCGGGGTATATTTAGGTATTATTTGAGTCAATCATATAAAAACCTTAGCCAAGGTCTTCATTGTTTGATATACCTATAAGAATGGTTGTACATCGATTATATTCTTTTAGAGTACTACCCTAATATATAAATAAAGGAGAGATAGGTTGAGAAACGTGGAAAAGATATAAGGGAATCGTTATTGTGTCACCCCTTCATCCTAATTGTGGGAAGTCCTTATAATCATCTATTCAAGAGTATGGAGCAACTATTTTATCGATACTGATCCCTCCCTGACCAAAATCAAGTGAGAATATAACATATAAAGGCCATTATCCAAGGCCTTAGATAATACTATTACCATGATATCCCAGCCCTTATTTATCAACTACCCAAAACAAGGTTTGAACAAATTAGTACTGTCCACTCCCAATATTTAATATATTGAAACATTTTCTTCCCTATAATATGAGGGGGATATTAAATAGATAAAATAACTTAACTAACCCATTATTCGGTATAACTCTAAAAGATTGACTCTATTATAATGCACATTTTAGCCAAATATAGGAGTAATCCTCTTATATTACCAAATAAATGTCTCATAGGTTGATATTATCACATACTGAATTATATGTTAATAAGTACACCTCTTCTATATCTCCCTATAGGTTAGAGGACTTACTAAATATGTTAGGTATAGATTATCCCTATATAGCTGAACTGACCTATAGGTATTAAACAAGGCTGATCATATGGGAAAGCTCATATTGTTAGGTAGGGAAGTATTGGTATGCACTTGATATATAACATCTTTAACCTATGGGAGCCCATTAGGGTATCTTCAAGTTAATCATACAAGTATGTTATCATACTTCATTATCACTTTGATTATTACATTACTTGATGATATAATAAAAATGGTAATTGAACTACCAATAATCAGATGGTCATGAGACTATTTACGATCGACGATTTAATACCCATATGTGATACATTAGTAATTATTTACTCCCTTAATAGAGTAATGGGTACTCTCATATGATGATATAATAGGCCGAAAATGGTTGATAACTCTCTATCCCCCCATTGGTCCTATTGATTATTTGTTCAAGTAATCCTAGTTAGCTTATTCCTCATTGACATCAATACAACAATAGTAACCATATTCTTGATTGATAAGTTAGCCTATATCCAAGTGGATTATTCAAATATCATAAAAATATAATTACTTTAATTATATGGTTAACTTGCCCCCTTATTAATATAAGGATACATACCCCAAGTCGTCATTTTTAATAACTCTACTATCTCCAAATAGTCTAATAAATAGTTGTTCATGTTGAAAATTATAGCTTTCTCTAATAGATGATACAATTAAGATGACTATAAATAAGGGTAATTTAAGGTTCCCATGTCTATACTATTTAAGCCTCTCATCAATGAGAGGTGACATATATAAATATTAATTAATAATAATAAATCTAATTAGGTTAACTACCTTATTGTTTAATGATATCGGACACTAGCCTATCTCGATGTAGTTGAAGAATAATACCATTAAGAATATTAGGCCATTACTCGATATGAATATAGTTGAAGAATAATTAATATTATCCTTTCGGAGAGGGGGTACCTTTACCTTAAATACAAATTAAGATTATCCTTAATACGCCATGGATATTATCAATATTTAAATCAATGATCAACATAGGCCATTTTTATCCTAATAATCAAAGTAAAGGTTCATCGAGATAATCATAAATAACCCTATAGTATATCCCTATTATAACTCTTAACTAGGTTGATTCTCAATATAATATATATTGAAATAATAAATATTTAATGGAATAAATATTAATTCAGGTATCCTATTTAGGTCAAATAGGATAATAGAGGGTACCCCTATATTGGTCTATATTTACCCTTTATTAAATAGTGGCTTAAGATATCTATATTTTTATTCGAGGCTAAGAGTTAGCTCATATTCATTAAGAGGCATCATATATTCTCTATTAATGATCAGTCATATCCTCTTACATTATCCTTATTCATTAGCCCGAGTGATATATTAACTCACTATTAGAAAAAGGTAGAAAGACCTTAGTTATTCTCTAGTCCCTACCAATAATCGGATGATAAGTACATGCATAAAGGAACATCCCGATGAAATTAATCATATTACCCTCCCTCATTAAGAATAAGGTATAGTATTGGGTCATTAATACCTATTAGATGAATCTATTACAAGGGCCAACATAGCGGTGAACACCTTCAATAGAGCAATGACCCTCATGATTAATAACAAGAGTGATCGAATTGAATCCATAAGCATGAGAAGACGGTTAGTCCCTACATACTTTAAGTATGTTATGGACCGATATGGAAAATTACTAAAATGGTATAACTAAACTCTACGAAATATTTCTAGCTATTATAGCTAGATATACCTATATAAATTTCCCTATGAATAGACAAAGGTTATTAATTTTGATCGGCCCTCCATTCTAATATTACTTGTGAGATATTGGGTCACAATAATCAATACTCTATAACCTCGTTCACCAATATAGTTAATACCATAACGGAATGAATACCTACTAGGGATAGATTATGCGGGATAACTAGCTTCTTAATTTCATTAAGGATAACATGCTCCTATGAACAATTTGATGGGTTAACATATTAGTATGTATAAATCATTGAGCCAAACTAATTTAGTGGACTAATGATTATATACCTTCTTATTTACTATAGTGAATATATCAATTATACTTAGGGATAAAATATCATAATTTGAGATAATTACTAACTAGATGGAAAGTAAATTTTGATAGGGAATATTACCATATGGCATAGCCCAATAGTCAAATCCATTTGGGAACTGATTTGCCTTGATGGTAAGCATCCTATTGAGAGCTTATTATAAGTAGTCTCCGAGTTACTTGAGGTAACCCTAAGCTTATTTGGCCTACTCCATATCATGTTAAATTACCCAAAAAAGATTTTGTATTAATATGTATAATAGTCTAATTTACAATACCTAGTTACCATATTTTTTTGAATAAATGTTATAAAGTTTAAGATAATTGAAATTATTTGGTTATTATTTTGGCCCCACCGTGGACAATTTCCCAATAAATGATAGGGATTATTGAAAGTTAGGAGACATAGGGTAACTAGGCATAAGGTATTTTTCTATAATAGTGGTCATACTAATAAAGTTATAAAGAGAATATATTAGGGTAATGCTAATAATTAGTAAACATGACCTTATCTACACTAAATGTTAGTGAATATTACATAGGTAATTGCTTAGTGGGACTAATACCCATAATATTTCTATATATAATCTAAAATATAGTCTAATTATAAGGAGTAACATATTCTCAACCTAGCCAGGTTATCACCCGATCATATAAGGACCAGTTAAGTAGACAAAATATTTATAATTGAATAGGGGATATCATCATTGGTATTATGCAATGCCCTCTCAATATATTCACAATCCTTTGGGACTATGATGCATTATAATGGTTAATCACTATAAGGTCATGGTGTTAGGTACCTTAGTTAAACAATGTTAGATTAAAGGGGATTGATAACCTATAATGAGTACACTTAGGTAAGATGAGGAGTATTATCATTAACTATAATCTCTCAATATTATAAACACATGAGTCTCCTTAGTCATTATTTATAATACTATGTGTATCTATTTTTAAGCCTCTTTTATCATTATCATGACCAAGTACTGATAATTAGGTTATCAATTGTAAATAATGGACTATTTATGGTGACTATATAAACATATGATTACTCCATGTATACTAGGGATAAATATGCTAATTTTATTCTCCCATATTTATATCCATATTATTCTAGGATATGATATACCTATATTTTATATGTTATCTCATATAATCATAGACCTATTATTCTAATTAGGTTGACCCAATTTTGATTATCTTCTATACTAATACCTCAATTTAATTTTATATCTAGTAATAAATAAAAACACTAGTACATTATCTATATTAAATTTAGGGAACTCTACATAATTACTAGTTAAGTTATTTTTTTATACCTAGTCGATGGTAAATACCTTTTAAGCAAATGCTAATAAGGTCCCTTACCAAGATAGGTCATTCATAACCCCATTGGAGAATATACTATTCTTAGGTTAATTAAGCGATATTGCGATAACTAATGCTATGAGACGGTACCCTCCAGGAGGTTCATTCCATATATTAACATAGGGGTCAATTTATGGTGAGTACATAATTTCGAGTTGATTACTATGGACCCATAGCTGATAAAAAACGAGAGATTACTAAATGAGACCCAACTAACATTTTATTTCCTAGATAACCGTCCTATAGACCAATTGAAATTATTAGGATTACTAAATCATATAGAGAATAGGTTTATATCTTGAATAATCATCCTATAGACCAACTGAATAATGTTTTAACAGTTATGACCCCTAGTAAGGTACTCTCTTACCCAATAAGCCCCATTAAACCTTATATTTAGGGAAAAGACTTGGGATAATTATGATATTTGTACTATATTAGTACAAATAATCTATAGGTCCTCAATAATCATTAGGATTCCTAATATCTGGTAAATATCCTACATAAATAGTTATTGTATATAATGCTTAATTATTAATCTCTTATCCCATTAATAGGACATTTCTATAACTCGAGGGTCGGGGCTATAATATCGAGTCGAGGGCTCTCACATGTTCACTTTTTTTAACTTGGTTATTATCACGTAGATCACTCAATCCTTTCATTATAGAAAGGTCAACTCCTTAAGGGGTATATCACCTAATAGTGGGATTATACCTAATATACTAGTGTACTCATATAAACTTATTATGACATAATAAACCAAGATGAGGAACCCTTTGATGATATACCCCTTATACTATTAAAGTATATTGGTTAAAATATTGATCAAAATATTTGTACCATTTATTAGTTACCTCTCAATTAATTGGTCATTATAGTACTATATATGGCCCCATGAATAATAGTAAATATTGTTGATTACAACTAGGACTAAACCCCTAATAATAAAGGAACTTATGTAAATCCCTAATTCTATATGAGGGTCCCTTTTATGTAGAACACATATTGTTCACAATTACTTAATTGGCCCATAATCTATATATTTGTTTCCAAGTGTATTGATTATGGTCTATTACCATAATCACCAATAGGTATCTTATCTTCCTCATTATACGTGAATTATATGATATATAAACTATTGGGATATCCTAATACACCATTAGCCTATTGGATTAACAATGCTTAATATCATATAAGAGCCATAACTGATTAGCCTATTAATATCCAACTAGGGTTATATCTAACAAGAGTGGTTATACTATTAATAACCCATAAACTATTATATCTTTTAACTCGTATGATTTAACACAATGACCTTTATGCGTTGATATAATCCTAGTTGGTAATGAGAGTTTATAGGATGTTTTGATATGGATCAAGTGAGCTAATTTCATAATATAGTGATGATGCCTTTTATATATAATGATATGGCCATATAATTATGAAAAGAGATAAATGGCTAAGAGGTCGATGGGATTTGGCATAAGATTTAATAGCTAGTTGGTAATCCGATGGAAACCATGGAGCTAAATGGACCAATAAGGTAGTGTCTCCAAGGAAGGTCCAAGATGGCGAGTTTACAAGTCTAAGATCTGATCCATTACCCATCAAAGTTGGTCCAATGACACAGGCTAGGGCTAAGAAGCTTAAAGAAGCTTTCCATGGGCTAATTCAAGAGTGTTGGGCATAATGCACTTCCAAGGGCCCAAAGGAGCAATGTGGTGCCATCTTAAGGGAGGAGGGGGGTCCAAGATTGTCAATCTAATTCAAGTCCAAGATTGGACTCCTTAAATCATATTAGGACTATTTTATTATATCTAGCTTAATTATAATTAGAACCAACTAATTAGTTAGATTTGGGCTCAATGTTTAAGCCCTATTATTTGCATATGTTTTTAAGACCATTAGGGCCTGTTTCTATTCTTCTTAGGGTGCAAGGAAAAGTAGAGTCCTTTTAGGGTTAAGAGTGGTGTGTTAGACTATATAAAGGCTGGTTTAGCTATATTTCAGACTTACACAATAATTTTGAGAGTTAATAAATTTGAGAGGATTTTTTTTCCTTTGTTCTTTTGAGTACTAAATCTGATTTATCAAGGATTGCAATCCTTATGGCATCTTTGAACTTATCATCCTCTATAGGGTGTGGTGTTCTTCACTCCATTGCATTATAACTTCGATTCTTACCTCCTTATAGGGAACGAGTCAAGTTTCGCTTATTATAACTTGATTGAATGGATTTTTGGGGTTGTCTAGCTACAAAGGTGTTTGGGTCTCTCATCTTTATACGTGAGGTTTACATCATAGCCATACTCTCTTCATTATACACTCGTTGTACAATAATTAATAATTATATATACGACAATATATTAATGACCAGTTAGAAGATACCTAGGTTTTAGTACCTAGTTGATTGACCCATGCTAATTTAGTAACAATTATCCAGGATGTTTGTTTAACGGGTAACAACATAACTATTTATGCACATTAGGCTTAAACTCACTAGTAATCTTATAGAGTTAGTATTAAGTAACAAAATGCTACTTAATTATAGTAGCTAAGGTAATTAGTCAACATTTTTATATAACCCTATTCAGACTAATACATGGGTCCAGCCTATTCCCAAAATAAAGCTATTTGGTCTAACTTTGTGTCCATCCCTATGTTTCCCCATGTTAGGCTCATGCTTGCTAATTACTAGGTTTAATTGTATCACCACTTGTAATGGTACTAATATCATAAACATATTTAACCTAAATTGCCAAAAGTTACCTTGTAATCCTATTCATGTAATTCACCTTATCTATAATTATACAATGATTGCACAAATAGGCTCGTAATAGGTATTGATTGAAACATAATATTAGTTAACCTAATATTATGATAATCTAGTTAAATAGACTCCCTCTAATGACGGACTGAGTTACTCAATATTATCCAAAAGAATAGTATTATCATTTAAGGTTTACTCATGAATATATATCAAAATTAATTGATTACGAGGATGGACCCAATCACATAACCTAATGTGATAATGTATAAGTTAATTGGTAAGTACTGATTAGATAATCATATAATCTAGGGGATATCCTCTTTACTATGATAATCCTTTGATGGAGGTATATTCCCTAAAATATTAGGACAGGTTGAGAAACATGGAAAACATATATAGTATGACCCCTAAGATCCCTTAATTGGCCTATGGGTGATAT